CCGGGCCTGCCGACTTAAAGGCATCCAGTTCTTCCAAATGACTCTGCACCATCTCAGGGTCTATGCATGGTAGTCTGGCACCTTGCTGGTGCCTCTCTACAACCCCAGTGAGAGATTTGTCGTGCCCCTCACTTAGGAACACTGAGGCAAAGAACTCGTTGAGGAGTTCAGCCTTGTCCCCTCTGTCCGTCACCAATTGTTTCTGCCCATTTAGCAGGGGTCCTATTCCTCCCTGGGCCTTCCTTTTACTCCCAATATATCTAAAAAACAATTTCTTGTTGTCTTTTACTTGGGTTGCCATCCTCAGCTCCATGGCAGCTTTGGCCCATCTAACTGCCTCCCTACAAGCACGGAGGAGGATAGTAAAGCACTGTGACAGGCTACGTAGAGATGCTGTGGATTCTCCATCCCTGGAGGTTTTGAAGACCCAGCTAGACAAAGCTTTGGCTGGGATGATCTAGTTGAGGATGGTCCTGCTTTGAGTAGGGGGTTGGACTAGATCACTTCCTGGGATCCCTTCCAACCCATATTTCTATGATTCTATGAATCTGTGATTCAGAAGGGGATGAGGCTGGGGAAGGAAGGCCATGGTAGCACTGCTACAGTCAGCCAGCCTGCCGCATCCCACTGCTGTTTGAAAAGGGTCACACCAGGTTATATCTACCTGGATATCAGAGGTGGCATTGCAGCACTTGCAGTCATGCCTGGCCTACCTCTACTCAGGACAGCTCAGAGATGCAAGCAGTGAAGGGCAGAAAGAGGGATTGAACCAGTCACTGAAGTACCTATTCAGCTCCTGGTCAGGCCTGGGCAGCTTGCACAACCCGATGGCTACAGCACCCTGGGATTTGAGCTAGTTGCGTTCATACACATTGGGGATGTGCAGGGGTAAAGCTTGTAGCCATGTTGGTCATAGGCAAACAAGGTTCTTTGGATAAATCCAATATCATTTATTCAAGCAACTAAAATAGTTGGAACAATTCATCTTTGCAATCTTTTGGCTACAAACACTTTTTATCAGGCTGAGGAAGCATCTGCAGTTGGTCTGTGCTCTCTATGCACGCCTCACACTGATATCTGCAGCGGAGTGGGAACTGCCTGAAGCCATCAAAGTGTGTATTTAATAACTATCCCCTCCACCCCCTGGACTCATCACCAAGTCATGTATATACTGACTTCTCTTTTGCATACCCACACATGGGTGATGATCCCTGACTGAGCTGTTGAACACATAAATGTTTCCAGTGCCACTCCATGCTCCAGGGAGTAGCATATCCAGCTGTGCCCTAGCAAGATGATCTCAAAGACTCTCCTCTTTTGGCTCCTGGCTTCCTGCATTAAGGGTAAGAAAGAGTCCCATGCAAACAGAGATAATGAGAAATGGAAGAAGCCCTAGCAGAGCAGCACTGGGTTATTTCTGTCTGATGCTCTGTGAGGACTCTCCATCCCTTCCTGTGTCCTGCACACAGGAGGTTCAATGCAAAGCATTCAGTGGTGTTACTGCTGTTCTTCCAGCCCATCAGTCCCCCATTTTTCTTCTCTCTCTCTCTCTCTGTCCAGGTGCCCAGGGGCAGATTGTGGTGATGCAGTCACCAGAGTCTGTTGCTGTATCTGTGGGAGAGACCATCACTATTCAAAGCAGATCCAGCAGGGGCATTGGAAAAGAAATGAGCTGGTACCAACAAAACCCTGGACAAGCTCCCAAGCTTCTGGTCTACAGTGGCAACCATTACACTGGCAACCCCGACCTGTTCAGCCCCAGTGGGTCTGGTACTGACTTCACTCCCACGATAAGTGGGTTTGAAGCTGAGGATACTGGAGATTATTACTGTCAGCAGGATTACACTACGCCTCTCACAGTGATGCAGCCCACTACACAAACCTCCCTGCTCTCTGAAGCATGCCGTGTTGCAGACTCGGGTGAACACAGGTAGCACAAGGGTCGAGGCCCAGCTCCACCTCCCCAATTAGCTAGGTCAGTAGCGTGTACATGGTTATAGTCAACAGTCTATGTGCCTCTAACATCTTTCAAAGGGATTTGCTCAGGCTCCTTGCTCTCCATTTTATGCTGCCTAGGAAAAGATATGACTCCATATACATCCCCAAATATTTATTGACAGGAAAATAATATTTAATATCTCTTTAGAGGAGGCAGTCTGCCCCCCTGAAAGCCCCAATCCTGCCCCCAAGCCTGCCTATCCTTCTTATCCAACTGCTGTTTCATTTAAATGAAGACGCACTTTTCAGGGCAGGAGCAGAGACAGGAACCAGGACTCCAGACATCATCCGTGTCGTGGCAGTACCCACGTCACTGAGTTACAAAGCCAGGCTACCATTGGGTTCCTCTCTGTCTGGACTCCTCTTATCTTCAGCTTACCCAACTCCACCTTGCCCATTATGTAGGTTAGTAGCATGTGCATGGTTACAGCCAGCTGTGCGTGTGGCATGAGCATCCTCAGAAGGGATGTGCTCAGGTCTCTTTCACACCAGAGCATGTGTTTGCTGCCGAGGACAGCATGTGACTCCACATA